GTGAAAGTGATGAACATGAAATAGAGTCGGGTCATGGTAGTTCAAAGTGAGAAGTCACCTGCTCACGTTGCCCAGGGTGCACCACGTAGAGGTTAGTCTATCGCGCATCCCTGCTGTAATATATCATACTATGAAAATCAATTGGAAGTACGGGATTATGAATTACTGATGTAGTTTTCTGATCACGAAGGCACCTATTCGATGCTTGAAATGACTAACTTTTGTTGGTATTAAACCGGATTTCCTCCTTTTAAAACTTCGATTATATTCATTTTTAATTCATTGAGTTTTCGTCAAGAATCTACTTAAATACAAGCTAATCAGCAATTTGATATCACGAAGGTTGCAACCTTATAAGATTGCCTTTCTATAAGCCATTGTAATTAAAATTAGAGAGTGTTAATGAGACTTCGCTTTTGAACTTAATTCAATGCAGTTCCTGTCATCAGTCATATATGTTGCCGGATGATTCCCCAAGGAGTGGTCTTAATACTACTGCCTACAAGTCACTAGATAAAACACAGATTTATTACCAAGTTCATTTCAAAAATAAAATTATATTCTAAAATTATAAATTTGTTTTATAGTTTGAGTAAACAATTTGTAAATTTGTGGGACATTTAATGTGTGTCACCGCTGATTTGTTATATTCACCTTTCGGCTAACAAGAATGCTTCCTTATAAATATCGAAAAATGGCACCCAAAGTCTTAAAATACCTTGAGAGTATTAAGAACTTCTGAGCCATTTTTTCAACTTAATAGCCAGGCCTATTTCTTATCTCGCAAACTCTACCATTGATTTACAGTATTATCAAAGAAATGGCTGCCTTAAACAAGTTCTGGTGAAACATTCGAAAGACAAATAACATTTCGTTAAGTCCTTCCTATGTTTTAATAAGAAAAAATTACAAAACACTGACATTTAATGTTTTAAATAGAATTTCTTGACCTTGAATGCTCAATGTGTTTAATGAAAATCTATTGTGAATTGGACAGAATTGTTAGATTATAGAATTTCTAGTTCATTTTGTACGATGGCCGCATGGAACATAGTTAGGCCTATCTGAGTAATTACTTAAAATGAATGGAAATTCCAAGTATCAAGTCGAATCTTACAAAACTTTCGAACAGAAATAAAAATGTCGTTATTCTGGTGTTACTTTGTAAATTATCAAGTGCAAACAAAAGTTGAACTTAAATTTTTTAGAGATTAATTTATTGTAAAGCTGAGGGCCGTATTGTCATATTAATAGTTCTTCGCAAAGTAAACAAATGCAATTAAATATGAATAATTTTCGGATTAAGTTAGTATACATCGTTTGACATAGAGATTCGATACATCACTATTAGTTGGTGGAAATAGTATGAACATAGGTAAGACGAATTCAGGATTGTTAACTTCCTGTCGCAGTTCTGGGGAATATTAGCTGTTACCTTTAGAAGAGCCTCATGCCGGCGTCTGTGATGAGGATGAATTTCTCTTATACAGCGTTTTAAGCACCTTTAGCCTTTATATTTATTAAAGCAAACGGAATTCGGAAACTGGAAGTCAGTGTTAACCGTTGTGCCCACAGATAAACCAGCCCCATTTTTGTAGAATAGACTGATTTTAAAATTGCGTCTTTGCCAAAATGAAATACTTGGAGATTCTCATTAGTAAAAAGTGTTCTACCATCCAATTCGGAGCAAGCGGTTAGGTTTTTTCAAGACATTCCATTTCATTTCTATCGTCGTAAAACAGCATGAGGTTTATTATATTGGGGGCTTTTATAATCTGATGCTATTTTTGCGACGCTGAAAATAAATGATGACACTGTCTTTGAGGATGCAAGACAAATATATTTTAAAATTAATACATAAAGACGGATCAAAAATTTATTATAAATTAGATTTTAACATAAATAGCTTTATTTCGTATTAGCTATCCACGTTATCATGATTACATGCATTCAATTAATTTTATTGAAGAACGATCCTGTTTAAGTTATTCATTATTAATGATATAGTTACTTAAATGATGGCAAGGTTCTATCTTAAAAGTACCATATTTAGGAGTTATAAAAGAACTTCTTCCCTCCCAATTAAAACATTCGAACCTCTTAGCTATTATGGTCGAATAATTGATGCTTATCTTAGATGGGCCCTCAATAATTGCTCAATTGAAAACAAAGGTGATAAATATAAAGAGGTAATAATAAAGAAATATATCTTATTGTTTTAATTTTTTCTTTATGATGGTGATAATTTATAGTGTTTGCCCATTCTAGTTGAAACTAAATCTAAAATCTTTGAATTTGAGTTCTTATAACTCTTTTACCTATCTAAACTTAATTATTAGCAATTATCAGGTCATTATATCCGAAGTTCGTATTAATAATAAAAATTGAACAAAATGGATAGATTCCCCATTTTTGAACATTTAATAAAAATTAGCAAAACTTTATGAATACGTTTGGTGTATTTTGTCATTGTTCCTCAGACTAAACCTGCAATGAGCACTTCTGAAGGTAAGGTTCAGGAAACGATTTCTTTTCTCTTCCCAGAATGGTCTGACATGAAATATCTTGACGAAAGCACACTTACATCAGCATAAAAAACTATGACTGATTAGGCTACGCATTTGTACTTTACTAACCTGTATACTTTAAAACTACCTGTGTTCAAAAGGGAGCAATGTTTTCTAAAGCACTTCGTCAGCTTCCACAATGGGAAACTGTCATCATCTTTAATGGTTTAGTCAAAATCAGTCGAATGTTTCCTTAATTGAGCATTAGATGACGGACATAGAACCACGAACTCTGATTTGGCGAATTTGGGAATCTAATAATATATTAATTTGACTGTAATTTTATGTTAGATTCACATGAATCAGAAATATTAATGATTCTGTTGATATTTTACTGGTATTTGATCATGCCCTAAAAATACTTGTTTCCCTAATTTCAAGAAAATAACAATATTATAGTTATTTTCCGTCTTCTTTCAGATTTTTCTTTAAAAATCTATCGAGAATAAAGGAAAAATTTATTCTACAAGGTAAGTTTACAAGAAACAAACTTCGAGACTAATTTAACTTCCTTAGTATTAAAGTATTTGATTGAAAAAAGCGAAGGGACAATATTTTGGTCACCTGAATTATTGCTTAACTAATACAAATCGGACTAAATTAATTTAAAAATTCTTCGCCTTTAATTTGGCTACCTAATTTGATTCCAGCTCATTTACACTAATGTTATTTTCCTAGATTTGCGCGGTTGGTGGGGATCAATATTTTCACCGATAATTCAGGTGGATATTGGTCGATAATGACGCAGTTATGAGAATCTGGACGAAAAGTTGCACGTGCAAGGAATGATTCATCGAGTACAACTCGACTGGCGTAAAAGTTGTAAATGGTGTCACATAATTAAATAATATTGAAGGAAGTAAATGAATTCCCACGAATATGAACATTAACTGACACGAAATAAGAACAGAAAAAACATATTGCTATCTCACCCCCAACTTAAAAATTAGCCTTTTAGTTTTAGTCTTAAAACAAACTCAGGTTGCCTGAAATTAAAACTGGTATAAAACTTAAAAGTCAGTATAACCCTCATTCGTATAGCTTAGAATGTTGCTCGATGAATACTAGCAAAAGCAGAATTAAATCAGATTTAAACTGAGCGAATTTTTTCCTCCTGTTTTAATACATTTTCAAAGTAATAACTATCAATTTTTTCTTTTTTCTATTCTCTCTTTTTAATCAGTTATATTAGTGATTGTATTTAGTTATGATAGCCAAAAGTCCCTCAAAAATCAACTTCAATTTACTAGCCAATTGCCATTCTCGAAATGTATATAGATATTTTTGACCTGGCTTCTTGTTCAAACAAGATTATTTCAAGTAAACATTAATAAGAAGTTGTGAAAATTTAAATATAGGGAAATACTTTTTGCGAACTTGAATTTTAACCTACCACAGAGAGAGTATTGAGGCTGAAAGAAGGCAAAAATCGATGTCCACGTGTCCACCCTAAATCGATAGTGTGAATTTTAATCAACATAAATTCCTAAACGAAAAATTTCATTTTGCTATTAAATTGAAAGCCATGATAACTACTGAATTAAATGCGCTTGGATAGAAATCCAACTGAATGTAAGAAAATAGATGAAAATTAGATGAATATGCATTATCTCATTCCATTTTTTACGTTCAAGATCAAGACTTTTGAGCAGACTTGGTCTTTTGGTTATCACTTTTCCTAAAACTGCGCTCATATAAAGCGTTATGAATACCGGTAAAATTTGGTTTCTACCTTTCTGAGTAGAAACCATGGTCACTTAAAAACCCGAACTTCACAAAACATTCGAAAACATTTATAAAACGTATCTATTGAAAAGAGCACACTAGTTATATTAAAAGGCTTGCAGAGTATATAACTTCATTTATTAAATTTTGAAGCAGTCGGTGATTATTCAAAAGTCTTTTAAATCAAGTTACTCAAGGAAAGCTGCTTATACTCACCACAAGATACCCTCTACGCTTCAAAATTTTTTCCAAATGGAACGGTGTAAATAAGATTGTGACTTAACTATAATTTCGCAATTTGAAGTAACTATTGTCATTTAAGACGGTTTTGTTAAAACATTTATATGGTAGTTGAATTAAATGCTAGTTGGCCTACCACACCAAATGTTAAACATGGCATACTTTTCTGATCAGGGATAAAATTGTTAGTGCGCGCACTTTGACTGCTAATTGGCTGATGTAGTGCGCGAGTGGTTGCTAAAATTGACCAACTGTGAAACTCCACTAGCCGTGCTCCAATTGGAGATCCGTGTTTTCGCCCAATCGATCTGCGTGCAATCGTTAGCGACGAAGCCTTATTTCGCGAATCTCAACAATCCGTGATTTGCGACGTAACGCACGCGACTGCTCCTGTTCGTCCTCCCTCAACTATATTCTTTGTCTTATTCATTTGTATCTTAGCGCCATACTCAAGTCTTTCCTATAAATATGGTATGTGATTTTATGGTAATCATGTATTCTTTTCAACCTTTCTTTTATTCACTGCTTCGATTCCTCCACTGAGTCATTTCAAGTTGAAATTAAGTTATTTTTTCTTATTAATTATATTTCAGACTACTGTAAATGTTCAGGCGGCCGAGTTTGCAGCACGTTACGTCGACCCCGAAGGGGTGCCGATCAATGCAAACCAAGCTCTTCTCGGATCAGGGTCTCCAAGTGCTCCCAAAATAGGCACTCTTATTCCTAATCGCATTTTTGTTGGAGGCATTCCTTCAAACGTTAGTTCTACCATTTAGTCTGAAGTGTAAAGAAAAATGTTTTTAGTTTGAAAATTGCTTTTCATTTCGTGTGTAGACGAAATTGTAATAATTTTAAATTTAGGGAAAGGACATTTGTCTTACACTCTTTAAATTTTAATCGCTCCGGATGAACCATAGATTTTTTAATGCATTTCATTTCATTATTTTCGTTTTAGACAACTGAACAGGAGCTCAAAGCATATTTCTCTAGTTTTGGTCAAGTAAAGGATGTGAAGATTATCAATGATAGGCTCGGCGTCGCTAAGGGGTTAGCATGCTTTGCTATGCAACCTAAAATATTTTCAAAGCTTATTATTTCTATCTATCTTTACAGGAGCTATGGGTTCGTTACATTTGAATGTCAAGAAGTGGCTGAGAAAATCATCAAAAATGAATCCGAGACACTCATCTTCAAGGACCGCAAGTTGAACATAGGGCACGCAATTCGCAAGCAGGTAATCTCTCCAATTACCCATTTTACTATTTTGTGATTGTTATTGAGGTGCGTGTTTATTGCATGGGTTTTCCATCCTCATTTCACGTTCTGAATGCATCGTTCCTTCTTTGTGTTTTGGTTTGCAGCAGCTCTTCCCACGTCCAGGTATGTTGTTGGTGCTCCGGCCCGACTGCGTGAAAGTCCCGAATGGTGATGTGCATGCCTTCGCGCTTTGCTTCCTCGTTCTGCCTGTTTAGTGACCTCTTTTCTTTTTTGGTTTACTTCCTGTTGAAAGCTATCCGGAAATTTATTGTTACTCCTTGTTCCCTCGCTTCAAGCCCTAAATACTGTTTGTTTCTCCTTATTTAGCTGATGTTACACCAACACTTTTCTTTCCTGGTGGAGCCGCAATTCCTTGCGGCTTTCAGAGTGGATTGCCTGTTTTTCCTTTAACTGGTCAGGATTACTCTGTTCTTGCACAAGTTCGTTTCTTTTCGCTATCTCTGTCTGCAAATAATAAGGTGGACTAATTGAGTGTAATGTGTCCTTCAGCAGGGATCAGCATATCAACAAATGCTGCTGCAACAAGCAAATGGAGCCGCAATGTACTTATCTCCCCAGTCGGCAAATCAACAAGCTGCAGCCGCTGCAGCTGCTGCCGTTCAGTACTCGGCCCTCCAATCGCAGCTGGCTGCTGCTCAACAAAATGCGGCCGCTTACGCCACTCTTCAGCAACAGCAACAGCAACATCAACAGTATCCTCAAGCCGCTTCCTTTACTGGTACGCTTTTGACTTCATATCAACTACCTTCCACACGAAATTGCCCTTTTATCGCTTAAAATCCATTAGTGTTTTCAATAAGGGGTTCCATCTAGTATTAGATGTACTTGTCTTTGGTAAATCACATCTCTTATCCAGAAATGTGATTTTAATCCCATTAATTAACTTAATTAACAAGGCGCATGGTTTAATAGGCCTAATTTAAAAGAAATGTCAGCCCCCTTAAGCTGTCAGTTCTCATTGATTAACTGGGGCCTCCATCTTATTCCTTGCTCAAAGTCTATCTGTTTTTAAGGTCAATTAACAACGACCGGAAGTCAGTCACAGGCAGCAATGCTAGCAGCAGCGATGGCAGCAGCATCCCAGTGGCCAAATGCTGCAAGTACTCCAGTGAACGGTCATAACACTTCTGGTAGTGTTCCACCATCGCTAACGCCAGCACCAGTTGGTCAGCACACAGCTCCTACTGCTGTGGACGCCGCCCAGTCACCAAATGTTGCTGCTTTGGCCGCAGCTGCAGCGGCTGCCGCTTGGAGATGGTTTTCACCAGCTGCTGTTACCCAACACAATGGAAATGGAACTCTTTTAGCATCCTCTCCAACAGCTGCATGTGGACAATCCGCTTCACAGCAACAGGTGAGTGGAGTTCTCTACGAGAATCTCTTCTCGCGCTTACTTTATCAGCAGCATCAACCAGCTCTTTCTGTTTCTGGTGATTCGGGGATTTTGGAGGAAACGCGATCTGCAAAAAGGCCTCGTCTTAAACAAGATGAATAAATGTGCAACAGAACTTCTCTCTTTCATTTCCCCATCCCACTTCATGTATTTAACATTTTCCTATTCTTTCCCTAAATCCCTGTTAAAATATGCATGCATGAGTGTGTGCTTGAATAATCTACATAAATTTTACAGTTTATTTGGTTTTCTCATTCCTATTATTTGGTTGATGTAGATCCATTCTGCCGAACATCAACAACAGCTGGTTTTTCTGCCGAATACAACTACAACAAGCGACTATAGCACTGATCACAGTGCCCATTCATCGGGCCTTTTGGAGTCGGTAGAGGTACGATAGTTGAAATCACAGAATCTCGCTGTCATCATACCAAATTTGAGTTCTAGCGTTCGTGCTGGTATTGCTATAGCCGAGTTACGTTTATTATTAGTTATCTTCTACTGTCAAACACTGCTTGTGGCACGAACTACGTTCGCGAGTTTATTTGAAGTTTCGCTTTTAAAATTCGTCATCTCGGTTAAAGTTGGTGATCGTCGCTATCTCCGTTTATTTCTTTCCCTTTCACTACTTTTCACTTATGCACAAACATCTATCTACCCCTCTCCTTTATAGCCAGGTATGTTTCATTGTGAGGGCCTCTCAATGAGCCCACCGCAGCACCCACTACAACCAACTCTTCTGCCATTCTTCGCTCCAGCTGTTTTCGATAGCGGAATAGCAGCAACCTCAAGTCCGGTTATTGCCAGGCAAATTGTCTCTCCTTCTAGTACTAACGGTCACATCATTACGAACGGCACAAATGGAACCAGCCAAACCCCACAAAGTCAGAATCTATATGCTACTCCAGCTCCCCAGGTGTTATTAAGAAATGACGTCCACTTAGAGCATCAGGCTTGAGATTCGTATCTAACATCTTTTTATTTTTACTTTTAGCCTATTATCTATTCAGGTGCAGGAGTTAATGGCAACGGCTTGGTGGTTGTAGACCACACTGGTAAACAAAATGGAGGTGGCCGTGGTTCAAGTCCAAAGAAACTCACAACAAATGGTGCTGCAGCAAGCACTCGGACAGCAATATGAGTGCCTAGCAGTTTAACTTAGCACTCTTTTATACATTCCATTGTCATATTCTTCATATAAACTCCTATTTTACCTCCTCTTCTACTCAAGCTTAGGTTTTCTTATGATACGTATAAAATGTTGGCTATCACCATAATGTAGAAATGATGGAAGCCTTAGGTATATATTTATATGCATTCCATCATTCTCTTTTAGTAATTCCCTTGTCACTAGCACTTTTTATTACTGCTCTTTCCCTCAATATACTCTACCTCCGAACTAATCTCGGATTTTTGCGAGTTTGGGCATTCATGCCTTTTTCAACCCCAGTGTGAAGGGGGAAAGGGTTTCTATGTAAGCCTGATATATTGATTTTTATCTTGAGCTGGATGCCCCAGTTATGAGTCATCGTTTAAGAATTTGTACTTCCTTAAAGCAATGCACTCTATGCATTTGCTTAACAGCCATTTTATAGGTATGACTGGAAAATGCGGACCAGTGACATCGTTTAATTGTCATCGATATCATGTAGTTGTTTCTGAATTTAGCTGCTCCAATTGTTCATTAAGCAATTTTTGCTTAAAGATAATTAAAGATGATGGTGATTTTGTTAAAGATGATTAATGCAATTTTACGGACATATCTGCACCATTCTCATTTTCCTGCCTATTGCTATTATCTTATTAGTACTCAAGTCTTAATGCGTCAAAATTGTTCCAAAATTGGCTGTTGTGTGAAAACAGCAGAAATCGATTGTCCCAGTTAGCGTGATGCGCCACCCCTTAGATTATTCCTGTTAATGCGCGGTTCATGTGCATGACTAACCCATTCACACATGGTCTTGATTTCGATGATGAACGTTAAGCCATTCGTCGCTTGGGTGTGTGAGGTCTTTACGTACTAGAACAAGGACATAGACGTTTTGGAATGGTAAAATCATAATCCCGAAGTGTTTTTTCCCTAAACTCTTTTCATCTAACTTTCGATTATGAAAAATTTCTGAAAGTTGTAAATCAAGGAAACAATCAGTGACATCTTACATTGCTCATTTTAACAAAATAAGGTTGCTATCTTCTACATAGCTAGGTAGGTAAGAGGAATTTGATCTCCAGTTTGGGTAGATTCATTGCCCTCCCTCAGAAAACTATATTATTCCTCGAAAGTCTGTTCTCAAAATGATTGTACTTGAGCCGGCTTGATCAAATTTAAATTGTTTTATCCGAGTACTGGCTGTTAATTCATAAAATCTTGCTTCGCCATCTCGCATTTCTTTTATTCATAATTATGAATACGTCTTTTTCCAGTTCTCAAATCAAAAGCCTATTGTTTTCATGCGTTTTTTTTGCCAGATTACAATTCTAGAATCTTAGTTTTTAAGAGTTCTTTAAGCATATAAAACTGTGCTTACCTGCGAATTCGCAAATGGTGTGGGATAAGAACAAGAGGTAATTAAAGTGGAATAGCCACTTTAATGAAATAAAGTTTCTATTAAGTAAACAGTCATTAAATTACTCTACTGCTGATAAAAGCTAAATTCATTCTGTCACTACTTGTTCTATAGTCCTTTGACATAGGGTGTTTCCTTGCTATGAGAAACACCAATTGATCACACTTTGTTGTTTGGAAACCGAACTTTACGGAATAGCAAACATTTGGCCTAATCTTTACAAGCCTTTTATTTGAATCACGATTTCATTCCTCCGTAAGGAAGAAAAATGTGAGTGCGTTATTGCAAGATTAGAGAATATCACTGAAGAATAAGTGAAGATTCTCTAATATTCTTCGAAATACTTCAGCTTTCTATTACTGTTTTCAACTGAATATTCGATTTAAAATAGTTTACTGAGAAAATACTTCACCATATTAGTAAAAACTTATTATCTTTTGGCCTTCCTATATCCCATGACCATTTTCATATTTATTTAATTCTCATCTCATGTCTATCAAGCTTCAGTGTACAACTTCCAAGGAAAAATGGTAAAATTTTCCAAAACACCTGTATTGATTTTCCACTGTCGCTTATCGATTTAGGCAATTTTTTGCCTCAATACTGACCATCGTTCACTACTCTCTTAGGCATCCCTAGGGTTAAAAATTCTTCATCGATTTTTTCCCTTTATTTACTCCCCGAATTTTCAGTTTACCGCTTACCAAGTTGCTGCCTTCTCTCTGCTTTCGTGTTCTATCAACTGGTTATGGCAAGAAAACAGCTAAATTAGTTTCCTCTCTTTTACACTGGTGCCACTTAAACAAATTACCTATTTATATTCGATTGGGGTTAATGATAACTATCATAAAGCCTGCTATTTGCTATAAAAAAATTAATGTTTACTAGAAAAATAAAAGATACTTTTAACTTGATTTTGACAACTGTTGTATCAGACTGGGGTCTTTCATGCGAAAGTTGAAATTTCGTCCCCAATCATTCTCTCATCTGAGGTGACTTAATCACATTCTGAAGCTTTTGTTAATTATCAGCAATACTTTCGTTCAGTCATTGACGCAATATGGCCAAGCGTAGGATGATAACCCATAGGTTTCTATAAACGTACTACTTCTTAATACCAATTAAGTGCTTCAAAAAGGCCACGTGCATCTCTGACAGTCGAAGGATTTGACCTTAGTATGAGTTTATGAATGCATATTTGACTAATTTCAATTTTTTGGCAAGGCCGGTGTTTTCATGCTAGCGACAAAAGATGGTATAGTTTTGGCAACATTAGAAATCTTTACCTCGTCAGCAAGGAAGACATTAGAATTCGATGGGTTGATTCGCATAAAATCTATTCTAGAAGGGGGGGCTTATCTACTGACCAATTCCAAATGAAGACTTGATAAAGCAGCTTAATCATTAAGTCAGGATAGAGGTACTTTAAAAATAGGTCAGTTGATGGCGACTAACTTGATCAATCTCGATTTTTCGCAAATGCAAGAAGTAAGCAGCATGGAATGCACAAGCTGTCATGGCTAAACGAAGAAACCTCCTGCATGCTCAGATTGACTCAGAGATCTCTCAGCCAGCCGTCAATCAATTGATCCTGCATTGTTTTTTTGTCAGTGACACGTCCGAAAAATGTATTCACGTCATGCGTGCATTTCCTTTCTAGCTTTGCGGTAGCTTTGGGACCATCCCAAACTAAGAGATCTTGATATGGAGATTACTGGGCATAAGTCAAGGCTTATTTGTGAAGCAATCCAATGCAACAGGGATTCCAAATAATTTTGGCTCTTAATATATTATGAAGTAATAAACATTAATACTATTCAAGCTATAATCCCTAAAATATATAAAAATGGCCGGGGAGAGGAGTGAAGAAAAATGTTTAAGATGGTAGAATTTTGGATAAGAATATTATATTATAAACAAGTTCGCAGGTAAATGCTATTTTCGCTGGAAGAGCAAAGGAGGTGATGAAATGAAGATGCTAATACCGTCAAGGAGACAAACATTTGAGAATTAGCATATTTTCATTTTATCATTGACAACCAGGAAAACTACAGAGGGGGCGACTATAGAGGCTCATAAAATGATTTTAAAAATATCGCCAGATAAGATTATGGTACTCAAGCAGTAGAATATTTGGTACTAGAAAATAATTTTCAATTTGGAGAGGTAATTCGGATATGAACAACTGTTGGTTGTTTTGAAGTCTATTTTCACTAAACCGGGGTGCGCGATAGACTTACCTCCTCGTGGTGCACCCTGGGTAACGTATACTCATACGGCAAAAAAGTCTATTAACTGGCAGTTGACTTCTGACTTCAAACTACCCTCACCCCATTGTATGTCATATTCGAATACTTCCGCAATACTCACCTCACCTTTTTCCACTTTTGTGTCTGCCTCTTTTACATCTTTGAAGTTCTCTTCTGTTCCCCCTCTCCCTCTCGACTTGTTTCACTTTGATGTTCCTCCTCCTCTGTGAAGCCTGAAGTCAACTAAAGGGCTAATGATAATTTTCACAACGCCTGCCATTTGATATAAATAAATTTTCACTAAACCATGTTCAAACTTTCCTTCCTAAGTTATCGACACTTTTAAAGAAACTGAAGCCTGTTTAATTATTTATTTACAATCCAAGGATAAGATAAAACCAT